ATTGATACATTTTTTCTAAAATGATTTATAACTAAGTATAAAAAGCAAAACAAAATGCATTAAAAATGAATTCGAATATATTCCAATACACAAGTTAAAATTTACATTAATTAGTTTTACTTAAAGTTATTTGCGTTAAGAACATAAGCTTAGTATATTTTCTTTTTAAGAAGGTTTTATTATTAGAAATAATTAAATCTCTATTACCCTAAAAACAATTCTAATTAAGATAAAGTGACTATAAATATACAGTGATATGCTTTATTATGATTTCAAGCTTTATCAAAACTCCTAAGGATTGAAAAGAAACATCATTCAGATTTAAAGTTACTGTACTACCTTATTACTTATTCAAAGATAACAGAATTTAACGCGCAGCTATCATGAGTTAAAAGAAATGCTTCTATCTCTAGTCATGGACATACACACATGTTCACAGAGATATAAACGTACATAAAAGTTTAAGCATAGAATGACCAAGAGCTCTGATCTCGTAATATAGGGAAAGAGGGAGGAAGGAATTTATCGTGCAAATTAATTACAATCCTTTTAGCTAGGCTTCAGTTACAGTATTTTTTTTCAGATAGGCCACTAACTAATGGTATCTCTGATACTATTAAACATCAAAAAATAAAGCAATATTCATACCATAGTTTCTTACTTTAAAACTATCGAAACTTTTTAAAGTCAAAAATCTTCCAAAAACTTGCACCCGTGTCAAAAAATAAGTAAAAATAAGTAAATAATGCTTAAAATTTAGAAATAAAACGTGACTGTTTTTCAATAATAATCAAAAAAGCCAATATTTTAACATCCAACAGATGTTCTTATCAGGAATACATAGTATGAAAATGTACATACATATAAAAAGAAATTTTAAGAAAGCAAGAAAACAAATATATCATTAAATAAGTAAATATACAATACCAATTAAAGTGTAAGGATAATACTTGACAATGTCGCATAAAGCGCGCAAACATAAATCAGTCCCACGTGGATAATGTATAGTCACACGCTAAATGAAAGAACTGCATAATTTGTACATACATTACCAGATACAAAACAAAATTTCGTTTTAGGTCAAGGAAGGGCAAAAACACAAAGAACAAAACTATATAGAGGCTCAATATGAAGTAAAACACCAAAGAAAAAGGATGTAAGAATCATGCATCAAGATAAAATATACATTTAATACACAAAAGATGGAAAAAAAAAAATTTTATAATACAGTAGTAGCTAACTAACAATAAAAATTTGGTACTACTTTTTATAGTACACCAACGAGAATTTTATTAACAAAATTACAACGATGGACTAGCATGCCTTTGCAAGCATTTGGATTGCGCATAAATACATGGACAACTTATGGATAAACCAACTTGGCCGAATGTTAGGACAGTTACTTTAGACACTACTATTAACAACCTCTTTTTCAATCCTACATGCTTTTCTCAACAGCTCCTTTGCCAGTTGTAGCATACTTTTAACTTTACCTCTTATTAGCTAAGCATTCTGTATTCTAATCTTACTTGTAAGTTGATCTCTATTAAATTGCATAAAATTTTTTTGATTGTTTGTAGATTTTAGGGGCTTTGTTCTAAACATATTGATAAGCATGGACGTGGTTTTAATGGCTTTTTCTCTAAAACTTAATGTTCTATTAATGAAAAATTGCAGAATGGTATCAAGATCCATAATACAATGTTAAACACTGGAATCAATTTTTTCCAAAGGTAACACATGTTTTATTTTGGAGGTTGCGAGTGTGTCTCAATTAACTAAAAACTTCCTTTAAAACGTAGTTTATATCGATATTAGTTGTATTTGCTGAACGCACGGTGGCTCAGTCAGCTGGGTCATGGATTGGCACGCGGGAGACCGTGGTTCTATTCCCGGCCAGTGCGACTTTTTTGGGCAAGTACCTCTGTGATTTTTCACATGTGCTTTTTCACCACGCAATACTTCTCAAGGAGGGTTTAGGCGACCTTCTCGCAGCGAAAATTGCCTAATTTCCCCCTACCCCCCTCCCAGTAATGGGAGGCCTTCCCATCCCTCATCCCTTTCTTCTCCCAAGTGCTAAGAGCCCATAGTAGTGCCCTCATTAGAGGAGCCAGACGTAGAGCACTCTAATATAAAAAAAAAATATAAAAAAAGTTATATTTGCTTATTAACTAATATCTTTTTTAATAAATTACAACAAAAAATGAACCATAAATTTGTCAACTTTAGTTTACTAGATAAGATTGCTTTCAATAAATACACTAAATAAAATAACCAGTTTTCTAATTCTGCAAAATTATATAAATAAGCTTAACACTTTCAAGCAGTTTAGAAACCAGCTTGCTAGTATATTTTTTCATAATATTACAGATGTTAACCTTTCTGAAAATGTACAAGTTATTCTGGGACTCGGGTCAAGATTTCATTTTACTACTAACAAAAATTTAAATACAACTGTTAATTTTATAAAGGCTATTAAGTTCATACTAGTATTAAATGAATTTAAAAATTCTACTTTTCGAAGATAAAAGGTTTTTGTTTGTCAGTATGAAAAGGTGCTATGGTCAATAAAAAAAGGTTAACATATTTTAATGAAATTACTAACGGTTGTCTGGTTCGCACAAGACCGTTCCTTGGGCACCACAAGGAGTTGTTCATTAAGGGCGCAGATAAGGGTGGTTCTATAGTTGTCATCTACAGAGCCAACTACATTACCAAGGTCAAGTTAGTTTTATCAGACCTTATGTATTATAAGATAGTAAACGAAACAAAAAAAAAGAATCATTGTATCTCTCATTAAGTCTGTTAAGAAGATCGTAGATCTTAACTTCTATAGGGGTGTATTTCTTGACGCTGAAGTTTTGGGGCTCAACCTAAACAAAATCAATAACTGTTCTTTATCTAAAGCTTATGGCGCTGTTAAGGTCGATAAGAGTGATAAACCGGTAAGATTGATAGTTTCTTTTCTTGGATCACGCACAAATGGGTTAGATAAGTGGTTCCGTGACTATTTTGATAAATTTTTTTAAAGATCACAGTATTTGTTTTGAAATTTCTATGAAGTACATCAGTGACATTATTATTGTGCCTTACGGTTTTTTCTTGGTATCGTTTGATATAGTATCACTTTATACTAAATTGCTTTTTTCACTCATGAGGGACTGTGTAAACAGGAAGTTGGGCTCTCTTGTAAAGCTTCTGGTTGTCGATAAAAAAGAATTTTCGAATTTTTTAAAGTTTCTAATAAATTCTAATAACTTTACATTCAATTAGAGGAGTATCCCGTCAGACTTGTGGTCCACGTATTGAAGGCTGTTGCTCCTTGTGGGTTGCTCAAATAGTACCTGAGTATCTTGAGATGTCCATTGTTCTATGGTGCGGGAAAACTATTCTCACTTAGACAAAATTACGTAGATGATTGCTTTCTGATTAAGAATAATAATGACATTAGCAGATACTAGAACTCTTGTCTGGCTTTTATCTGTATATTTAGTTTACTACCAAACAAGAAAAAAATTAATTGATCCCATTTTTAAATACTTTTATTAACAGAGATATAAGGCTGCATATATAACTGACTGATATTGCAAGCTGTCTGCGTCTTGTAGATGTCTTAATTTTTGCTTGCATACTCCAGTGGCACGAAAATAAGCTCTAATTTTTTCTATAATTAACAAAGTATTTGAACTTGTGAACCCTTGTTTAAGACATACTGAAAAATGTCTTGGAAGTTAGGAGAATCTGGCTTTAAGTGCTTATCCTTTTTTTTTGTTGTACAAAAAAATATTAGAGCTAGAATCAGCATTCTCTATAAAACTTCTTAACGTTGTAATAATAGATATTACAAGGGGGATTCTTAAAATTCATGCACGGCGTACTGTTCTCATGAACTTTTCTATGTTGTACATCTATACTTTGAACCATATCTTTAGTTTATATGAGGACAGAACACTGCAGGGGCAAATAAGTGGCATTATTTACATTGTGTTCTGTGAGTCTGGAACCTGTTATATTGGCCAAAGCCAAAGACAACTAAATATTAGCAAGAGTAAACATGTTACATGAGTTACAAACTATAATTCTAGATCTGCAACAGCCTAATATTCTAATGAATTTTAGCACTTTTTTGATTTTGATGAAGTAAGAATCTTGGACCAAGAGAAGAATGCATTCAGGAGAAAATTCTTTGAAATAATATACATTACAATGTATGACACTAACATTAATTAACAGCTTAATACTTAAAAATTAAGTCCTATAAATAAAAAGTTTTTGCTTAATGTTAAACATAAGTTTATAAAAGCGCTTTTGTTATCAGTTAGTTACTATTGCATCATTCAATTTTATGTATCTCATCTTTTGTGTATCAAATTCTCATTCTATCTCGATGCATGTTTTTTATATCCTTTTTTTTCGGTTTTTACATAGTGTTAGACTTTTATAGTTTCTTTTTCTATGTTTTTGCCCTTTCCTGACCTGAAAATAAAATTTTTTTTGTTTCATCAATGTATGTACAAATTATGCAGTTTTATTGTTTGGCGTGTCATTAACTATTGCCCATGGGTAATCGATTCTTGTTCGCGCTCTTAATGCGACGTAATTGCGTGTTATTATGGCACTTTATTATTATTGTATATTTTTATATTTGATAATACATTTGGTTTAACCTTAATTTACTTTGATTATGTATATATTTTGATACCATGTAGCCCTGAATAATGTCAAAATATTGAGTTTTGTAGATTTTTATTTAAATATAGTCATACTCTGTTTCCAAATCTCATAAGTGTTTTTCTGATCTAAATTCTTGTTTTTTACTTATTTAATATCTAGTCTTTCTGTTTCCGCAGAAAAATTAAAGTCTCATTAATTTCAGTGTCTTACTTAATTTGACATATTTTAAACGTAAATCTTACATCTCATATAATGAAACATTTATTGCTTGTAACGAAAATCTGAGCTTTTTTTTTGTCAATTATACACAGGTTCTACTGACCAACCTTAAATTTTTGTTGTCTGCTGTGAAATCCATGCACGTATTTTTGGGCTCCAAACGACCAAGCTCAAGAAAAACGTTTCTCTTTGGATAAGTGTCATGGAAACTGGGTTCATTATTTTCATCTAGTTTTCCAACAGCCCATACAATAAATATAGGCTGGTCTGTAACGTATGCTTTATCCCCTAAATCAGCTACGCAAATAAATAATTAAAGTGATTCTAGATTTTTTTTATTATTATGTTTTTTTTTTCAAATATAAATGACATTCAAATAATAACTCACGAGAAATTAACAGTCTTCGGTAGGTAACGGTCGTTATTTCATTTTCTCTTGACGCAGTAAATAGTTGGTTGCTGTCTTGACCACCCATAAACTCGTCCTTGCACACGCCTCTGTACTGCCCAAGTACTTTAGTACACTGTCGATTTCGATTTTTTAAATAAAAACAAAAAACTAGATAGACATCTTAAAAACATTTTAATATATTATTACCGGTGCCTTGGACGTGATAGTGTAATCAGTAGCATAGCCTCGAGTACCATCCATATAGGCTATAGTTACGTCAGCGCCTTCCATTTGGCTTTTTTCGTTTGAGCCTGACAATCCAAATGCCATATATTCGTTTTCCGCTGTAATAAATTACAAGCATTAACGACAGTATAAAATGAATTTTTAAGAATTCGAAAAGTAAAAAAAAATAGATGTACAGACCAATTTGACCAACAAGTTGAATCGTTATTTGTGGTCCGAAAATATCCCATCCAATTTGTAGTCTTTTATGAAGCTGCACACAGTTTGGCATCGATTTAGACTGCTTTATAACCTGGTATCAGTAAATGAATTTTAAGATTGTATTAATTCATCGAAAAAAAAAACATTTATGTACGAATGGCCATTATTTGTCTCGTATGCATCTACCTATTTATACGAGCTTTTGCATACTTGATCCTTATTTTTTTATATAGAAATCAACGTGTGTATCTATTTGAAAATTTAATACACAGTTTATCTTACTATATTTGGTCATTCAAAAAAAAGTTAAATGATTTCAACGTATCGTTGTCTCATAAATGCTATTTTACGTTGTCCTTAAGTTATATTCATGGTCAGTTAAGGACGTTCGGTAGAGATAGCGGGGGGAAACATTTGCGGGGCAAGGGAAAACCAGCGATGAGTGAAGATTTGACAACGCCGTACGAGTCTTAAATGTGTGAGTGTTCATGTACATGCATCAGGTGCTGCAGTCTGCACTCTGCACTGTCTGCTCGTCTGCTGTGTTGGTTACGACAGTGTTATACGTGTATGTTTAATGTTTTTGTGATAAAGCAGTAAGTATTTGACTTTAATTCGTTATAAAAATGTAATGAAAATGAATAAATAAGTAATTAAAAAGACTTGTGACCATTGTATTTATATTCGTAGATTTCATTCACAAAAATGCCCAAAGCCAAACAGTAGAACCTCCAAACTACGACACATAAGAAAGGAACAGAAATAATCGTAAATTTGAAATTTTATAAGATAAATAAATAACGTGTTACTAAAATATGTTGTTTTTTTTTTATGGGGAGGAGTGGGCGTAATGTACATACGCTCGTACACACATATAAGCTTGTATTTTATACGAAAATACGTAAATATCTACAATAATATTGAAACATGTACTGATTGACGTCTCAGAGCATTTTGAATTTCCCGCTACTTGTGATGTTGCCATTGCGTTTCTATCCAACTTTTGTTTATTTATTTATACATTAACGAATCAGACGATCGTCGCGAAACTTGGTATACATTAAAGTTATAACATTATCTGTGACATATATGAAAATTGGTGAAATTCACTAGACCAATTTGCTTAAAACTGTGTTTTAATCAGTTTTCCCGTAAGCAACCGTGTTAAAATGACTGAGCTTTGAAATTTAATACCTCGAAAACAAAACAGACAAACCTCTTAAAATTTTGTCAGGTTTATTGCAACAACAACAAGAACGTCTAGTCAAATTTTCAGAAAAATTCATTGGGAAACTCTATCTCTACTGAACGTCTTTAAGATTTTTTAAAAATTAAAAACATCAAAAATGGCAAAGGGAAGCGTTCTAAAATTTTGTACACTATACTTACATGATAAAGTAAGTGTACATTTAAATATTCAACAATATCTATTCGAAAATCCTAAGTGTAATAAAATTTTGGAACACTTTCCTTGCTTAATGTGGTGATAAAGGTGTGCTAAGATCTATGTAATATTAATTAACACTTAAGTCACGATTACGCTAACTTAAAAAAAAATACATCTGTACTGAAAAAACTCTGACAATGTAAACAAGTTTCACAATGTTTTCTATGGTAAATGCAAAAGTCATCTGTTAGCGTTATCTGCTATAAATTAGTTAATTTCGACAAGATCTATTGTAGTATGAAAAAAAAGTGACTTACAAGATGTATGTACACTATTGGTTGATAAGCACAACGCTAAGAAAAATTGAAAGTGTGGCACGCTACTCTGGCTTTCATAACTTGGGGTACTTACTCACCACTAAATCAATTAGTTTATCTTTAGATAATAACACAAGTATCAATCACTAGATAACCTGAAGCCCTGAATAGCCTTTTAATAAATAAATTAAGAAAATAATACCCAACCTAACTGCTAATCATAAAGTAACTCATGGAAATCGATACCACATTAATAATCTATTAGGAATTAAATGATAACAAAAGCGCCAAACACTAGTTTAAACAGGTAGTATAATAGAATTAGCTTCTTGGATCGAAAAATTAACAGTAGCTTAAAAAGTTATTATCGCTTTTTTTTGTATTTATAACAAATTGTACTACTTTCAAACACCTAAAAAGCTTAGCAAAGGCCCCAAAAAAGGTAAATATGACGTACAATATAGTTATACATATAAATATGCATTCTATAAAACAATATTGTGTACAAAGGTGGTGCAATTATCGTTGGAATGAGTATACCTACGTTAGTTGGGTGTGGTTTCAGTAAATATTCTAATAATTAATAACTGAAATTTTATTACCAATATATTATGGCCCAATACAATAAAATCAGTGTCCCTTCAGGAAGTTAATTATACATAGGTTTATTTGACAGATATTATTCAAGCATCAAAAGTATACTAAAAATACCATAAAAAATACTAATAAAAAAGAAGATTATTTAACTTTACCCTCCTTCGCATGTTTAATTTAGAAAATTTGCAATTTAACATGTAATCTATGAAAATTACTTAAAATTACATTTATAAGATCTGTATAGGCCCCTTAATTTTTTTTATATAAAAGAGTTCTTTCAGATAAACCTGTTTCATTTTTTAATAGATCTATATNATTACCTTCATCACATATGAATTATTTAAATTTAATATAACATATACTTTATATTGTTTTTGTTACTGTTATGCATTCTATATTTTATAAATCAATGTACGTGGTTGGAAAAAATCTTTCATTTTTAGATTTAATGAGAAATATGAAAATAATTTCTTCACAGTGTTTCACACTGCAAATTGAAAAAATTGCTTGTACTTTATACTATTAAAGTTTAATTCAAAATCAACCTAAATATTATAAAAATTTGTGAAAGTAAGCAATATAAAAGTTACCATTAAAAGGGACGGAAATTGTTTACTTGGAACTTTTTCTTATTTTCTGTGTAATGACAAAGATTTCTATCTGAGAGCTCAGTCTTTAGTAATTTATAATGATGTAAATAAATGGCGAAATCATTATAAAGAACTGTAAGGTAAAGTCCAGTAATCGGTTTTTTATTGTTAGGCCTGCTCATAGCAGAGTGGATAAGGAGTTTTTTTTTTCAATTAGTTAAAAGGAAAAATAAGAAAAATTCAAAATGTGTGGTTTGGTGTGGTGAGGTAATATTGTGTCGTGTGGTGCTATGACGTTGTGTTGTGTAGTAGTGGGGACTAGAAAAACGTCAAGAGGGGCCAGGTGAAATGGGAGAATCAAAGCAAAATCCACTTTCGTCATACTTTTTTTCAAGGTTACTAATCTGAAATCGTTGATTTACTTCGTAGGTCAAAACGCGCCGACAGAAGTATAACTTCAAAAAGTCAAAAATCAAAAGGTTGTGTGATTCTAAGACAAAAAAAATAAGCCACATTAGGCTGTGATTGGTTAAGTGAGGTGCTTCTATAGTTAATAGTACTTAAAAATGTACGAAATTGTCAGCAAAACTAATATGAGCGTCGAGAAATATGTGTTAAGAAATTGAGACTAATTTACTACGTCTTTATTAAATTCTTTGTTATAACATTCTCGTCAAATAAACGCTCTTTTTAAATATTGGAGTAATAGTGCAAACACTAGATAGCCCCATTGTTTTAAAAGGGTCACTTACCACATACCTATAAATAATTGAAAAACTACTGAAAACTATATTAGACAGTAAAGAAACACAAACGTTTGTTTTTTTTGTTTTTTTTACTACATAGTTTTAAATTAATAGGAGTCAAAATGGGGCACTTCGTTTGATTTTGGTAGATAATCAAGTAAGTATTGCCTACGTGGCAACGTCGCATTGTCACATGAATACAAGTAGACAGATGTACATGTACAGATGAAAGAAGATGTACATGTTTATGTATAAATAAGTATACGCAAAGGTATTCACATTTCACTCTGATATTTTAAATACGAGATGATATGTGTATTTTGTTTATCTAAATATAAGATATGAGATTAACCTATGTATTGGGAAACAACTAACTAAAGCCGTTTTTTCGAAAATTGCAAATATCTGTCATTTTCAGTCATTTTTTAAAAATTTAACAACATGCGTTATAATTAATACTTAGAGCATAAGTCTTTACCCAAGGTTGATATCATAGCCCTTAATATACACACTAAATTTTCGCAAGATCGGTTTCAAGCTTTTTGTAAACCACTAAGAAAAATAAAAAAAGGGCCTTTCATAAAACGATCATAAAAAAGTTTTGGTGCAAAGTAGTTTCAGTTTTGAAAAACACTCGTATTCATAAGGAGTTTATCTATTGGATCTCCAAATGTTTTTTAAATCAACCACGAGCATGTATGTTAAGCATTCATGGTGAAAAAGCGGTCCTTCTCGCTTGACGCACTAGGCTGGGTAGTGGGTTGTCAGTGGCTTACCTGACTCAGCCACTTAAGTAAGCCACCGCTACCTCACACGAAGAGGAACGTTGGACTGATAGAACTCATAGGTGCGTGTCGTTAAAGTTCAAAGCAACCTTACACTCTGCGAGCGCGTATCATAAGACTCTCTCAGTCTAATGTTTGCATTCGTACAGCTTGATACAGCGTCAAGCTCTAAGAACCCGAAGCGTAAGGCCAAACGATCTTAAGGGTTTGGACTCTCTCATGACAATCTTGAGGCTCATGGCCCGACGGTAGATATAGATGTACATGCTCATGCTCTGATGCTTGATGTGGCCTGCACGACGTGCAGAGAGTAAGGGAAGAAGAAAAGGCAGCATATACATGTGCATGAGCGTGCGATGCCTCAGTCGGCTAGGTCATGGGTTGGTACGTTGGACACCGTGGTTCGATTCGCAGTAAGTGCTCCTTTTTTGGGCAAGTAGCTCTGTGAGTTTTCAAATGTGCTTTTTCACCACGCAATGCTTCTCGAGGAGGGCTTAGGCAACCTCCTCGCAGCATAACTGCTTAATTCCTCCCCCCCCTGCCAGTAATGGGTGACCTTGTATCCCTTTGTTCTTCTTTCTTCCAAGTGCTAAGTGCTCCATAGTAGTGCTCTTTATAGGAGCTAGACGAAAAGCCTTATATATATATATATACTAGTGGGGCTCCACC